TAGAAACAGTATAGAACCAGTAGAACCAGCATAGAACCAGCATAGAAACAGTATAGAACCAGCATAGAACCAGCATAGAACCAGTAGAACCAGCATAGAACCAGCATAGAACCAGCATAGAAACAGTATAGAACCAGCATAGAACCAGCATAGAACCAGTAGAACCAGCATAGAACCAGCATAGAACCAGCATAGAATCAGTTTAGAACCAGTAGAACCAGTATAGAACCAGCACAGAACCAGCATAGAACCAGCATAGAATCAGTATAGAACCAGTAGAACCAGTATAGAACCAGTAGAACCAGCATAAAACCAGTATAGAACCAGCATCGAACCAGCATCGAACCAGTAGAACCAGCATAGAACCAGTATAGAACCAGTAGAATCAGTATAGAACCAGCATAGAACCAGCAGAACTAGAATAGGACAAGTATAGGAACAGCAGGATTCTGGGTTGAATCTCTTGGACCAATCAGCTCTCTCTGTTTCCAGGTCGTGGCTTCCTGCCCCGCCCCCGGCCCCTCCCTCTTCTGTTAGTGACAGGTGGAGGTTACCTTGGTTACCAGCACTACAGAAGGAAGGGCCAGCAGGATGAAGAGGCTCCGCCCCACCTGGCCACGCCCACACAGGTAGGAGAGACCCTATCTCTATCCTACCCGTCCTCCTCCTCGTCCTCCTCCTTCCTCTTCGCCCTCCTCCTCCTCCTCCTCTTCTTTAACTTCCTCCTCTTCATCTTCCTCTTCATTTCTCGTGGAAGTGTGTGTGTGTCGGGGCACTCCAGCGTGTGCGACCCACGACAGTTTCCACCGTCTTTTACTGTTTTTAAATTTGTCTTTTAACGTTCAGTGTGCGTGGAAAAGTGCGGAGGATCAATATGTGGATTTTGCATTCTTCTTCATCGTGGCGCTAGTTTGTAGCGCCTGTCAAGGGGAGAAGCCGGTTCTCCAAGATGGCGACCGGATCATTATCACCAGAGAGCGCCGTCTGTCTCTTAGTTTCTCGGCAAGTGATGAGGTCCCGACTAATATTCCAGTGGAGATCTTCGTCCCTTTCCTGCGGGACAATAGATCTCCACGCTGATCCTCGTGGTGGAAAAAAGGAAGGAGAGGCAGTATTCACCACAAAATGAAAAAACTCTGTCTGAATAACAGACGCCAGCTACCCCCGTTGCCTTTGGTCTTCTTGTCAAACACGCAATCTCTAAGGCGCAACGTAGACGAGTTGGAGATCTGGGCACGGCACAAACAGGAAATTACTGAGTGTTGCCTACTCGCCATCACCGAGACGTGGCTTAATGAGAGTGACTTGGCCCTCGCTGGATTCGGCTGTCCCATTAGACTGGACTGGTCCTCAGAGGTGATGGGGAAAAACTGCGGAGGAGGTGTCTGCTTCTATGTAAGTCAAAGGTACTTTAATAACATCATTGTACGCGAGAGGATGTGTACCCTGGACATGGAACCACTTTGTGTCTCCTTACGCCCTTTTTATCCACCACGTGAATTCCCCCAACTGTTTTTTACCCTTGTGTACATTCAGCCCTGAGCCAACGCCAGTGCTGCCACTCAGCTGATAGTAGATCTGTCACACAAGCTGGACTCTCTTTCCAGGGGGGCTTGAATCATGTCCAGTTGGACAGAGTCCTAGGGACATTTGAACAATATGTAAATTGCCCCACCGCACTAAAAAATTCTACTGTTGATGTGTGTTATGGAAATGTGAGCATCTTTTTATTGTGCTCATATAAACTGTGCTTCAGGCGTCAGGAGGTAGAGGAGAAGACCATCGAGATATGGACACAGGAGAGTATCTCCTCCCTCCAAGCTTGTTTTGATTGTACAGACTGGCAGTGCTTTATTAATGCTTGTGATAACAATATTGATGTACTCACTGCAACTGTTTCATTACTTTTTGGGTGGATTTGGCAATCCCTACTAAACAGGTGTTTATCTTTCCTAATATCAAACCTTGGGTAACCAAAGACCTTAAATTTGCTATAAACAAAAAGAAGACCAGACTAGTGCTGCACCATTTGATAAAAATGTGCGATTGCGATTTGAGTGGACAATCACGTGATTTGTGATTGTGATTACAATATAATAAATAAATGGTATCATGAGTCTTGTTGCTTGACTCAGTGTTTCCCTACATTATATCAGGGGGCACTGACCTGACAGAGTTATTGTTATGGACAGACAGTGTGTCAATGACCATCAACAGACTGAGCACAGTCAAACACGCTGCTCACACAGCAGCGCAGCACGACACTGTACACACAGTGGAGCGAGCCTGTGTTGCATTCAGGCATTGTCACGTAAATGACAAATTCCAGCGCCATAGCACAACACAGCAGCATGTTAAGTGGGCCGAACCCGAGCAAAGTTGCTCAATTTTTCATTTGTTATGGAGTCCGTGATTTCCCCATGACACTTACAGATGTTTGCGTAACTGTGCTTGGATGTTGTTTTATGAGGCTCGGGTGTCTTTCAGTTGTCTCATTGTCTTGAACGTTACACGGCTCGTCTTTCTCTCACATGCACTCTTCCTACTTCTCTCTGTGCTGTCTCAAGTGCTGATATAGATTGGTCGTGTTACCGCGGGACGTGGCGACTTTAACTTTTAAACTTTTACACAGCACGTCTTTCTGTTCAACGTCGCCGTACCTGAATCCAAAGTATCGCCATGTAATAGACGTTGCGTTTTTTGTGTCTGTGTTGGTCACTGCTGCACGCCGGCTGGTCACCTGACCATACGTGCTCCACGCACCAGGATAGCTTGTGGGCGTGATGTCAACAAACTCCACACACTACAGGAGAGGCAGTCACGTTCACAGGCACACACGTTAACATTCATTTACATTAAATCGCAAATCGCAGCCTTTAATGCGGTTATGTAATCGCACAGCCTGACATCGGGATTAGATTAATCGTGCAGCGCTATTGGGGACCCTCAGGAGAAAAAGGTGGTCTCCAAAGAAGTTAAAGCTGAAATAGCTAAAGCAAAGACCAAGTACAAGGAAAAGCTAGAGAACCAGTACTTAAAGGAAGACCTGAGGTCAGCGTGGCAGGGGATCAAGTCTATGGCCTCCCTCAATCAGCAGGATGATAAGATGAGGTAGCTTATTAGTATAAATGGGGTTGAGGAGGCGGATCTGCCAAATACTTTTCATTTATTCTTCTCACAGTTTGAAAGACATGATTTCAATCAAGATGTCTCCCGGCTGAGGGACTCCCTGGTACCCCACAACGAGATATTGATATCTCAGGAAGTCTTCCTCGTCATCTTCATCTTCCTCCTCCTCTTCATCTTCATCTTCCTCCTCGTCTTTCTCCTCCACTTCATCTTCCTCCTCCTCCTCCTCTCAGCAGGTCATATAGTCTCTGTCAGGGTTCTGTTTGTTCTGGAGGACTGACGACAGTTCATTTGTCAGAGACACCACTCGTCCCACTGCTGTCCAACAGAGGACAGGCTAGTGACGGGTTCTGTCAAACAGAGGACAGGTTAGCAATGGGTTCTGTCCAACAGAGGACAGGTTAACTATGGGTTCTGTCCAACAGAGGACAGGCTAGAGACGGGTTCTGTCCAACAGAGGACAGGCTAGTGACGGGTTCTGTCCAACAGAGGACAGGTTAACTATGGGTTCTGTCCAACAGAGGACAGGCTAGAGACGGGTTCTGTCCAACACAGGACAGGTTAGAGACGGGTTCTGTCCAACAGAGGACAGGTTAGAGACGGGTTCTGTCCAACAGAGGACAGGCTAGAGACGGGTTCTGTCCAACAGAGGACAGGTTAGCAATGGGTTCTGTCCAACAGAGGACAGGTTAACTATGGGTTCTGTCCAACAGAGGACAGGCTAGA